TCATATAAATATGTTATATGATATACTTTAGCGTATGACATTTTCAAGCAGATATTTTAGATTCAGAGTGAAAATTCACATATAATAAACTATGTTTGTTGAAGTACGAGTTTAACTTTAGGTTGATATTTAGTATTTATATAAAGACATTTTCATTCATTCATTCATTCATTCATTCATTCATTCATTGATCTGTTTTATCTTATTGACTGTAAATTATATTATAATGATAATTTTGTACAGTACAATACGCTTTTGTACGGTACGGTTTTCATTCTAATGTAAATGACCACGAAAGATTAAAACATAAATGATTATATTTTTTTTTTTAATACTAACGTTATTTGTTTAAAAATTAATTTTTCATTAAATCATTCAAAATGTTGAAACTTGCCAACGGAACTTTTATCTGCATATCCAACGTTAAACTTTGCCGATATTTGTAAGAATATTTAAGCAAGACGAATCGAAAAGCCGTCGCGGATATTATAGTAAAATTTTGCCTATAAAAATAACAATATTCTGATTGAAACGACTACAATAGCATTGAAAACTACATGATTTTATATCTTCATCGAAACCATACTCTGATATACCTACACATTATATTAGATAGCTAGTCGGTTTGATATTATCATTTTTGTTACCTGTTATGATGAATTTTTATCATAATACATGACTGCGTTATTCAGATCTTGGATAATAAATTTATTCATAATATAAATATAAGACAGCATCACACATATCCCAAAGCTCTTGTGTTATAGATATCTGTTAATTTCATTGTCTATATTGCCTCGGACGGGAATCGAATTCAGGACCTAGGAATGGCGGCGCCATCAAACCGCCGTACAAGTCACTCGACCAAGGACTTATATTCTCATACGGCATTTTGTCGATGATTGTACCACTTTAGAACAGGAAACCAAAGTATTGACGTACTCTTATGAGTAACGGACATAAATTATGGAAATGGGATTAAATTAGGAACATCAGTGTGTATTAATAACTTTTAACATACATTTGACCCTTATTGTTTTTTAATGATTACTGTTTGCTTATAATTAATCGATAATTGATAATAGGAAAATGACAACAACAGCAATTAAGTTCTATTATATTTTTTATTCAATTTGTTGAAAGTATTTAATGAATGGTTCGAAAATTTTTAGCTGAAATGAAGGACGAATGAAACTCACTAGATCTAATACACTTTAGATAGTCTAATTCCAAAATAAAACCTTATTTTAAAAATTAAAAAATATTATTGCTTTTTTGTGCGCGATATTATTTTTGCTCAAATTTATATTCCTTTGCGCTTTTCAGTAATTATAAGTAACTATTTATTTTATATGCCTAATACATTTTTAATTTATCAAGAATGAACAAAGTATAAAATATTTCTCAAAAAAAAATTAAAACATACGTTATCGAAAATAGCATTGAAAAATTATTTACATCATGTTGCATTCCAATTCTATTATAACTATAAAATTATAACAAAAAAGAACAACAAAGAAAGATTCATATTTGCATCAGTGAACCTTAAAGCTATAATCCGTAATCGTATGCCGCAGAAATCCACTGACCAACAAATATATCTTGCTGGGTGGCCGTTGACAGTCGTATTGTGTAAAAGAAGCAACAATTATAAGTCGCATCCAACAATACCTCAATCCCTGTGGGCTGCGCATTGACAAACCGAATATGTCACATTCCTATTTTGTAATTGTCAAGCTGGCGCTACCGCTTTGAAACCGCTTGTTAGCAAAGTCATTTTTTTTTCATCGCCGTCTCAGTGACAAAGGCAAAGGGGTTTGGAAATAGATCTTTTCACTATAATAAGTAGTAATGAGATTTATTTTTTTCCATAAAGCTTCGAGTGTCACAAAAACTATTGTAATTTTCTGAAGATTATTTTTTTGACGCTTTTCTATTATTTTATTGCGACTATCAGTTATTATTGTCTGGCATCTGAAAGATTAATCTATAAGTTCTTATTCTAACAAACTAATGACTATAATTGTGAATGATATAATTAGACGTTATGACTCTTGTAGCTCAATTCTTTTTTAAGATTACGTGGTCTTTCAAAACATTCGTAATGTTTTAAGGTGTATTAACGTATATAAATTACGTATACGCGTTTGAAAACAAGGTTTAGACGGCAAAAGCTCTTTTACAAATTTGTGAATATATGAAATATATTTTTACAGAATACATAATTAAAGATATAATTGAACAGAAAACGTATCAACATTAAAGGTGTTTAGTCTATATAAAGGACAGCTGCAAAACTAATATTATCCCTAAGGTGCATACAACCTATGTGCTGAAAACACCACATGTGCGCTGTAAAGCTGTTACGGGTTCGGTGCTTCGTCAATTAAATAGGCTGATCAGCTTGAGTATAATTTATTAATGAAATAAGGGTAATAATAAAAAAAACCCTTGTCGGGCTTCTTGTTACACTTTTGGATCGTACAAAATACAGTTTTAATTTAGTAAATATGTTATATTATTGTATCACCATAATATATGAATTATTAAAATTACATAGTAAAATTTATACCAATAATATTGTATATATTATAATTTCATCTTGTGTATAGGAGAATTTCTTACGAAACTGACATCCATAAAGAGTAAAATTGATTAGTCAAAATTTTAAATTACGAAAGACGAATAGTAAAATGAAATGATGTTGAATTTCAAAAGCAAAAAGTTTGCATACTGAAACCTAGGAAAACAAACGGTGGCATGGCACACCGTTACAATACCGGGGGGGCCGGGGTTAAAAAAAAAATCTGAAAGATTTTTTTTTTAGATATTCTTGGATTACTCAAGCTTAAAATATTTTATATAAAATGTGATTAATTAATGCTATCATGATTTATTTAGAAATGGGGATGGTATATATAGTGGATAAATTACATTAGGCGATTTCCCTTCATAAAATGTTCTTACTTCATCATTCAAATATCATTCAAACAATCTTTATCTTATTAAGATAAAAATTCCTAGCAATTAGAGGTAACTTGTATTTAAGAAAGATTATCTCTAATAAATCGACCTAGAAAATAGTGTAGGCTTCTTTAAATAATGTCAGTCACCACCCGCTGACTTTAGGTGAATTGTGTAGTGTTGTTAAGTGTAGATGAGTGTGTTGTGTAATGTGTCTAAATGTAGAGTGTAGAATAATATACAATCGTAGTAATAATAAAGTAGGTAATGCATTAGGTATAACAATACATTATGTAGTGTTAGATAATAAGTAAATAAGTAAACATAAGTACACAAATAAATATTTTGATATTGGCTTATTTATAGTGTTATCAACCGCACTTTAAAATTGATATTTGACATTGGCTTGTTTATAGTGTTGTCGTCCGCACTAAATTGGTATTTTGACATTGGCTTATTTATAGTGTTGTCAACCGCACTAGATGAAATAATAAATTATGAAGATAATAAAAAACAATAAGTATGAGTAGCCAAATAATTAAATGAAAACGTTATGAGTATTTACAGGGTACTAACAATAAATAAATAAGTAATCCAAGAATATTTCTCAGGTCTCCTATCATTGGTAATAAAATTTCACGCAATTCTTGAGCCGTTTGGGTGGATTCGAAATTCGCGTTTCGTAATTTCAGTTCTTAAATAATTTCTGGTTTATTCAAGTACGATATATCTATGATAAAATTTGATTATTATAAAACAAATGAATGTCAAATCGTAAACGGAAAATAAATTACAATATTCTATTTTTTTTAAATATTAAAAATAATATTATTCGTCAAAAAGAATCTCAGCAAATTTTTGAAAAAATTAAAGTAATGCCTTACGTACCTTTATATATACGGAATCTTAATTAGATTATTTACTATTAAATATTCCTGTTTTATAACACTATGTTGAGTACGTGTTTGTATGTTCCTCGATACAATGCATCAGAACCGATCACATTTGTGACCAGCCAAGTAACGCTGAACGTCTATTGTCTGATTATGTGAGTAAATGTGATTGTGGTGTTGGTCGTAAAGTGTGCACTATTGTCTTCTATTGCAGTAGTCAGCCTATTTTTGCCCCACGTGGGCGCCAGTGTTACGGGTTCGGTGCTTCGTCAATTAAATAGGCTGATCAGCTTGAGTATAATTTATTAATGAATAAGGGTAATAATAAAAAAAACCCTTGTCGGGCTTCTTGTTACACTTTTGGATCGTACAAAATACAGTTTTAATTTAGTAAATAAATTTATAAAATTTATACCAATAATATTGTATTATATTATAATTTCATCTTGTGTATAGGAGAATTTCTTACGAACTGACATCCATAAAGAGTAAAATTGATTAGTCAAAATTTTAAATTACGAAAGACGAATAGTAAAATGAAATGATGTTGAATTTCAAAAGCAAAAAGTTTGCATACTGAAACCTAGGAAAACAAACGGTGGCATGGCACACCGTTACAAAGCCACATTTGCGCAAACAACGTCACAAAATCCGCAGCACACTCATCCGGCTTAGGGCCTAAAAAGCGCCGGCGGTGACACCTACCTCCCCCTCTTCCACCCCCCATTCGCCGTCCCACTCGCACACCCACGCTTCATCCCACAAACGACACAATGAGACACACACTTTTGCCACCAGACGACCCAAACGACAACTAAGTAGCGCTGAAAACCCGCCCTTACCCGCTTAGCTTTAAAGCCATCGATCTAAACATGCGACACATTAGAGGACACTGTTGCCGCAAAACAAAAAGGTAACAACACACGCGTGCGCTCAACTAATTGTAACCTTAGCGTTTAAAAAATACGCGTCACTTTTGTTAGATTGTACCGGAGGTGGTATAAAGACACAGTTTTCAAATGTCACGCAGTGTAGTCGTCTCTTTTCTCCGGAGTCCTGTCGCATCTGCTGGCTCCTTTGGCATCCTTCAGTGTGCAGTGGCCCCCCGCACATCTTTCATCCCGCTCTACGCCGTTGAAGCCCAGTGTCCGGCCTCGCAGACTGCTAGACGGTTGTGTCTGATACAAGAGATACATTAATGTTTCACGTACTTCTTATAGGATAAAGGATTAGGTGTGATATGTACTGTGTAGTGACTGGCTGTGCTATTTGATGTTTGTTTGTGAGGAAGATATTCAGAAGCATTCATGATTCAGGTCAGTTAGATATTGTTTTTATGATATAAAAATTATGTTATCGGAAAACTATGTTTAGAAAATTTGGGTAATCCTTATTGTAAAGCTTTTGTATTAAGCTTAAGAAAGTTGTTGGTGACCGTGATAATAAATTGTTTTGTTAAAGTTGTACAAATTCATAAAAACTTTTACGATAAAACTCCGTTAACGAACTCATGTAAAAAGATAAAAAAAAACAAAAGCTTCATAATGCAATTGAAGCTTCGAAACAAAAACTTTTACAAAATAAAAATGAAACTCTACCTTTTTTAAAAATGAATATTCAATATACCATTGTAAGTACTCTAACATCACAGTGAAAAATAGTTTACTATTAGAACTTTTGGTGATAACTTGAAACTTGAACATTTTAGGTAAGATTTTTCTAAACTCTCATGACTTTTTGCTCTAACTTAAAAGATTGATTTTTGTAATAAGTTTTAATGCTAATAATTAAATTAACAGACTATGTAAGTAATTACAATGAAGAAATAGTAAATGAAGGAAGGATTGAGCAATTAAAAATGCCGCAAAACATATTTAAGTGGGAAGCGATGTTACGAAATCGGGTGCACAGATACTTAATTGATTGTCCAAAGTGTGGGTGTCATTGTCAGTGTGGTCAATTGAAAGATTTTAATTACACAAGTAAAAATGAATATGTTCGTTAAGAACAGCCGTTATCGACAGCAATTAAAACATTAAATGTTTATCGTATCTCCAAAAGTAGAGAACGTACATTAATAAATTTTCAATTAGAACCTTTTTAGTTGTATGAAATTACACATATGTGTTAATTCATAACACAAAACCTGTTTCAAAATACATAATTTTAAAGATGTATGTATATTTTTTGGTTTAGAATAAATCCAGAGAAAAACTACATTGTGTCTGTTTCCATATAAATAATGAAAAATTTAATAAATACTTTGTTCTATATTCTCTAGAATATGGATGTTTTAACTCATTTGTTGTTGTATTTTTCCCTAAAACGGGAGGTTTACCCCGACTAATACTACTTATGAAGATAAAAGGGAAATATTGTAATTAAAATTGAACGCATTAAATGTACAATATTTAATTAATAATGGATGTTTAAGATGATCTATTTTAAGATATACATTTGACTTAACATTATTCGTTTAGAAAGTATCTTCAACATCTAAAATAGGTACAATTTTCAATTCCATTTAAATCTCTACCTATAACCAAACACTGAAACATCTTTTTTTGTTTAATTTACTACTGAATACACGAAATTGCTCATTTTTATCAGATTATTCACAAAAACTCGTTAAATATTTATACTGCAAATAAGTTACAATAAAAAAATCCGTAACTGTGATACCTAAACGCTTACAGTGCTATTATTAACAAGGTTTAGAGTTGGAGTTAATTTACGCTGAGACTGCACTTAGTATTAGTCAAAATTCATATTATTAAACAGAGACATAGCAAAGGCTAACCTAGTGCAAGGTTCTACGGGTGTAATATTTGCTCCTAGAAGGTAGTAAGTACGTTAGCTTATTCTCTGTATAATATGAATTTGGACAAATACTGAAATTGCAATTTTAGCAAAAATTACTCTGACGCTAAAGTTTGTTTAATTTGTTAATTAATTAATTATTAAACTTTAACTCTACTTATTTCATATTTATTCCAAAGTAGCTGAATAGGCACGTTTTAATATTCCAGTCATAAGATCACATGGACTTTTTTTTTAATTTTAAGAGACGGATGGTTTAATCCTAACTTTAAACAGTATATGTTACTTTACAGATATTTACACATAAGATACACAAATTATTATAAGTACAGCTAGGATGTGGGTGTGGCTAGGATACAGCAGAAAATAAAAAGTTTTTCAATAAATATTTTACTAATCAATCCCTATGTTAATGAAAATGGTTACTTAATTAAAACTAATATAAGTATTTATTAAAAAGTCAGTCCATAGGCTACAGATAGTATGAATTTTCGTTCAGCAAATTACAGAAGATACAATTTTATTTATAAAGAATACAACACACAAACATATTATTAGTTATATTACATACCAATCAATATATATCAACACTTTTAAGGTAAAATATATATAGCCATGCCTAATCCATATGTCCACCAATACACAAGTCGCCATAAATGGTAACCTGCATAATAATTTAAATCGGTAGATTTTTATGATTATCTTCTTAGAAAACAACTTTCGGACACCCAAAGCTTATTATTTGTCACCTACTATTATGGAACGTAAGGCTCATTAGGAAAAATACCAGAAGATATTATGATACAAATTTCTTAAGCAATATAATTAACATTATCTACTGATAGGTATTGCTTTCAACAACAGATCCTCTTCATTAACTTAAATAAAATATTTTGACTTTAAAATAGTATTCAAAAGCATTGCCGAATACATTTTCTGCCGTATTGGACGAGACAGCTTTCATAGAGACAACTGTGTCATTTGTTCGATCTCACGGTGTCGCCATATAAAAAGTTCCTGACTCCTGGTTCGATGTAAAATAAACGGTACTTACACTAGGATAACAGAGTCCAACTAAAATTGAAGTCGCTATTACTTTAATTTCTTGCCTACTTATATAAAATGGCGGTTATATAAATTTTAAAGACCTTTATTGTCTTTAGAAATTGCTTTTATTTGATTAAACCTCTAATACTGTGATAGCGCTGAGTCCTACGCTGTATTTTTAACATAGTAGCGCTGCTGAATAAATATATTTTATGAATTAATCAATGCATTGAACATACTTTTGTTATAATTGGATAATAATGTTTGAAACCACGAAATTTTGAGAAAATAGCGTCTAAGGATCTATTAATAATTTGTATTATGATAAAAGTAGTTTCATTAAGCTATATAAATAGCGTTTAAGGATGACTTAAAGCTCTATTGCTAAATGCAAGATATTATTACACATCAAAATCTCCGAAAGCAACTTTTAGTGGGATAACGCATTATTTCTTATCAGCGTCCTATGTATGTATTACTTCACGTTGTAATATTCAATAATGAAACGTTTTTTTCTGTGATGTCTCACGCGATCAGTCGGAAGACTATAAACAGAAGTGTCGGTAAAAGCATATTCGACAATGACAGTAGTTTTCACATTAGTATAATGTCTCTTTTGTTACTATTCAGTTCAAGAACCTACTGTCTTTTTAGTCTGCGCACAGCCACACGAGTAGTAAGCTGCACTGAAAGTTCATTTACATGATTTGAAAGTCTTGTCTTGTATTTCGTACAGTCAATTATGAATTGTAATAATAACAAACTACTATCAATAAATAGATATAGAATAATTTTAACGTTTTACAATGCTAGAATCAATCCTTAAATAACTGTTAACTAATTTCACTAACCGAGATCCATGTGGCCTTATACGGAATCAAGACATAAGATCTAAATTAACAATTTTTACGTTGTTTATGCTTAATTTATTTAACATTAAGTCTTTAACCACTTTCAATCTGAGAAAGATATATTAGCAAAAAGGTCCATCTAACCCCATCTTTACGGCGATACCGTAGAGAAGGCCGGCGCACGCGCACCGTGACGCATTACTTGTGAGCAATGCCTCCGAACACTGCCGCAGGCGACTCTGTCGACGCTGTTCTGAACACCTTACAGCACTTCATATTAGAAACGAACAGATATTTCATTTACTAAATAACAGAAAGACATAAAAGCACTACCTTAAATTAATTGCTATTGAATAAAAATATATAACTTTATAACATTTATACAAATGTTACTTATATCATAAGTTAGTCATAAATATTACTTATTTCATTCATCCTTTATTGCATAAAAATAAATAAAAATATTGGAAATATGAAACGTTAACGCTCTGATCCGGGACAATAAGTTAAAAAAAATCTTTCTTCATATTGATTTTAACCGGGAATTCACTTTTGACAATTGACATAATATAGAAAAAAACTACATATGACATCAAAATAAAAATCCTCTAATCCTCTAAGTAAATACTCGTATATATATTTAGCACAATGTGATTCTGCAAAAGTCCTGTTATTTTTTATGCCACCTTATATTACTTGCTATTAATTTTATTCTTACAGCGGCTTCTCCCGCGTGGTCTTGTATTATACATAAAGACCTTCCTATTGAATCACCCTATCTATGAAAAAAACCGCATCAAAATCCGTTGCGTAGTTTTAAATATTTAAGCATACAAATAGATATAGGGACAGAGAAAGCGACTTTGTTTTATTCTCTGTAGTGACTACCATACAAATAAAAAAATGTATCTGTACTCTCTATAATATTAATAAATACACAGATATTGGAATACTGATGCCTATAGTTAAAGTCGGTCCATTAAACATGCTAATGCAACATCCGTGAAAGCCTTATAGCAAAGTATCGACAACTACTCCTGTAATAGCGATCGCAAACCTTACATTTGCTTGATGACTCGATTTATTTCAATAATCTTGACTTTTTGACCTTCCGATGAGGAATATTATATTCTATTGCTTTTTCCTCGGGCGATATAAGTTTCCTGCAGTCAGGAAAATATTATCAGTTCAATGAACTATACTTATATCTATATTAGAGATCAAACTCCCACTGATTGTATCAACGCTATTTTAAAACCTCCTGAATAAGTTTTCGTAAAAGGTACTTAGATTTTGTTTTGTATAATGAGTGCATTCAAAGTAATTTATAATATATCCATACTAATATAACAAATTGGATAAAAAAGAGAATTTGCATTGATAAGATTTCAAACCTATTTAAAAATTTCTTTTACATGCAGGTGTCAGTAACTAATACTCATATTATAAATGCGAAAGTTTGTAAGGACGGAAGTATGTAGGACATGTTTCTTTTCTTTCACACAAAAACTACAGCATTGATTTTGGTTAAATTTGGACTTATAATCCTAAGCCTAGATTAAAATTTAGACTACTTTTTATCCCAATATTTGATAGAG